CCGCGCGCTCCGGCCGCGCGCTCGCACTAGGGCCGCCGCCGGCTCCGGCCCCACAATGAGCGGGGAGGCGGCATCCTGAACAAAGTGCGTCCCTCGGGGCCGGGCGGCCGGGGGCGGAGCCTCGTGACCCGCTGCCCCAGGCACACGCCGGCTGCCTCCGACGCGGGCCCCGGGAGGGGGTGCCCGGCCACCGGGAGTGGGGGGAACAGGGGGGCGGGCGGGAGGGGAGGCTCTGCTGGTCCCCCTCGCCCTCCTCCCCCCGCACTGTGCCAGTTTAACCCGCAGAGGGGCGGAGGCATGGGTCCTTTCCAGACTTTGTCATTGGAAAGCTATTCCCGTAACCCTTTCCTGCCTTCGCCTTCCCGTCCCGCCTCCCTGGCCGCAGAAAGGCGGCGGCTTGGTGGCTGGGCTGGGGCCGAGAGCTGGCAGGGCAGGAAGCCTTTGCACAATTGAGCCTTTCCTTTGCCCGGGGACCCGCCACCCCCACCCACGTCCCAGGGCTGCGGCTGGTTCGGCCGTTCTTTGGAAGGGGGCAGATGGATCCGCCAGCCTCCTCGCCCTGCTTCTGACTCCGCCCACCCTTCCTTCCTCTCTACCCCGGTCTGAGCTGGGACTCGTGGGTGCAGAGGTGAGGGGAGGCCCCAGAAGTGCCCGGCAAATAGTAGGTGCTCAGTAAAATAACATGCCTTCTTCCCACTTTCCCGACTCTGCCACTGCCCCTCCTTCTAGGGCCGTGGGAGTGGGAGGAGGGGGCAGAAGACGGGAGAGGAAATGACATGAGCTGAAGAGCGAGAATGGGAAGGAGGTCCTCAGGCAGAACCTCGTGCAACCTCTCTGCAGTGTAAGGATTGCACCCCCCATCCCTCCCACCCCCACACCCGTCTCCTGACCTGAAGGCTTCCAGACTGTGCAGGAAGAGTCCAGAAGGAAATCAGGTGTCCCGTGCCCCTGGAGCAAGCTTTGAGTTCTGTAAGTGAAAGGGAGTAGCTGTGGCCAAGGACCCAGCAGATTGGGACCAGAGATTTCACCAGCTCCAGCCAACATGAGGATTGATTTATTTCCTGGGTCTTGAGGGGTTGAGAGATAGAAAGCAAAAAATGCCAACTCCCTGGGAGGTCTCTGAATGCTTCACCAGCAGCATCAACCAGAGGGAGCAGAGTCAGGATGAAAGCCCGAGTCTTGCCTGAGCCCCTATTCAGCCAGTCAGGTCACAGTGCACGTGGACATAAGGGGAGGACCAAGGACCCCTAGACAGGGACTAGCAGTGACATTGAAGACGGTCCCATGTTATCAAGGGAGAGGATTTTTACATGGCTTTTGTCCATGAAAGGAATGAATTGTCTTTTGAGGTGGGGAGGGGGGCTGTCCCTGAGGGATACCGCAGATGACTCCCTTGCCCTGTGTGTGTATAATGGCTAAACATACGGGCTCTTAAGGCAGACTGCCTGGGTTCAAATTCCTGGATCTACCACTTACTAGCCATAGGAATTTGAACCAATTCTTTAATCTCTGACCACCTCCATTTCTTCATCTGTATGTAAATGGGATAATAATTGTCGCTATGTCCTAAGATTGTTGGGAAGATTAAGGGCAATGAACACAGGTGACACACTTAGAAGAGTGCCTGGTAGCATTCTATATGCATCATTGAGTCTGAGTCCAGCAACCCGGCATCCATTTGGCATTCAATGATGTGCTAACTGGAATTCTGGTCCTGCTCTTCACAGTCCCCTCTGCCTGCAAAGGGGAAGCCTGGTCCTTTAAGAAGAAGCACTGTCTCTTCTTGAGGGCTCATAGAGTGGATCGGCTGAGCTCTTTGGCCCTCCTAGCCCCAGGGACCAAGAGGACACAGTCATACAAACCGGTATCAGAGACTGAACCACCCCCTACCTGTCCTGAGGCTAGATACAGGGCCCTCACCCACGTGGGTAAGGTTGGAATGATGCAGTTCCTTGGATGCTACCCAGAAAGGTAAAGAGGGCCAAAGCCATAATTTTGTAAGAATTAAATTTCTTCCATCAGTGCATACAATTAATATTTCTCCCCCATTTATGAATGGCTGATCATACAAGTCCTCTCTGACCCTGCTCCAAATGTCCCCATCATAAGCTTCCAACAGATAAACAGAATAGCATGTGGACAGGTTGGGGGGCAGAGAACAAACAGGCCAGCCTGGTTGGGGCGACAGGCAGTGGATGTGTAGGCTTCTGGAAGAGAAGTGGCTAGGACAGAGCAGCAAAGAGAAACCAGATGCAACTCTGGACAGAGCGCCGCTGGGGTGTAAGCAGAGTCCTCGCCCATCCCAGAAGTGGCTTCTGCCAAGTGCCTACTTTGTGAGTGATTTTCCTCTGAACACAGTGATGACTCAGTTGCTCTGAATCAAGCAAATGGATTTTCCTTACATTTGAAAATCAATGAGAAGTAAAGGCAATGGCCTGGTTGTGGGGAGCGGAGGGTGGAGAGAACAACAGGGGTGCTGGGGATTGAGATGGTTGGTAATCAAGGGAGGTTCAGGCTCCCTGCTGGGGGCCCCTTGGCTCAGCATGTGTTTCTCTCCCTCCCCGCCCCCCCCATCCCCACTCATGAAGAAGGTGGCCTCCGGGCCCTGCTGACCTTATTGAGACTCCTTAAAACCCAAGAGATTTCCCTTGCCCCCACCCCTTCCACAGGTTAGAGCCAACCCACTTCAGGGCAGGAGATTGTTAACAAGAGGATTAATGTCAATGTGACAAATGGGTTTTAAAAAATCAGCCCAAGGGGCGCCTGGGTGGCTCAGATGGTTAAGCGTCTGCCTTCGGCTCAGGTCATGATCTCAGGGTCCTGGGATCGAGTCCCGCATCGGGTTCCCTGCTCAGTGCAGAGCCTGCTTCTCCCTCTCCCTCTGCCACTCCCTCTGCTTGTGCTCTTCTGTCTATCTCTCTGTCAAATAAATAAATAAAATCTTTAAAAAAAAAAAATCAGCCCAGGAGCCTGTTGTCACCCCCATAGAGTCTCAGACCTGGCCTGAGTTGAGATGGGGGCTTTGATAACCCCCAGAAAGCAGAGCAAGTGGCATTTCGAGACCCAGCCTGATTTCTTGGGGGGCTCAGCCTGTGTTCCTGCCACCTTGAGGTCTGAGGACCCATGCTCATTTGTTTCCCCACTTGGGTTATCTGATGTGGGACCTTGGGGATTTGAACAGTCAGAGCTCCTACATTCCGTGTGACCCAGGGAGGGACTGCTTTTACCTCTGGCTCTCTTGTTCAGGCCTTCCGGAGCTGTTTGTAAGGCCCTCGGGTGGGGATATGAAGACAGCACGTGGCTTTATTTTCTTGAGCACTTAATAAATGTCATGAGAGCTTCTGAGGTGGAGTCTGAGGGAGCCTCTGACTTCCTCCTCCTTAGCACAGTGGAAAATCACTGGGCGCGGTATCAGGAGACCTGAGTCCACGCTTTGGTTGGGCTACGGGCTGAAGGGCGTCACCCCAGTGTGCTCGTCAGTAAAAACGGGTATTGACACCCGGGAGACAACAGTAATCGCCAACCAAGGCTTAGGTGAGTATTCAGTGAGATAATGGAAGAGAAGGTGGTTTCTAAAGTGCTGTGCAAATATAAGCAGAAGCGTGACGATGAGACAGAAAGCACCAGCCCCTCTCCCTGGCCCCGGCTTCTTCCCCACCCCAGTCACGTACACTCTGCTTAAGGACTCAGTGCTTGAAAACTCACTTCTCAGCGGTAGACACCGGACTGTCCACTAGTAACCCTTGCCCTTTCTAGCTTGATTCATTAACCCAGGAGGGGCTGCATGCCGATGGGAGTGGGGGGGCGGGGAGTGTGGGCAAAGCATTTGTCCCCATCTGAGGCCACTCAGGCCTCATGACTGGCCTCAAGGTCCCCTTTAAGAAGGGCCCTCTGTGCTGATGGCTTGTGCTTAGGAGGACCTGGGAGAAACAGTCTGTGGGAAAAGCTGGCACCTTCATGAATGTTTTATGAGGCTGAGCGAGTCACTGCCTTATCGGGAAGATGCTGTTTCTCTCCCTTTCTTTGTTACCAGGACGTGAGATGTACTGAAAGTCATCCCAGTGTTTTTCCAAAGATGGCTTTTCAAGACAAGTGTTTCTTTAAGGGGCCAGCAGGGTAGGGATGGGGTTGACAAGGAGAAACAGTCCCCTTGAAGAAGGCAGGCT